GCGCGGCACCGGGCACCGGGCGGGAGGAGCGCGGGGATGACACCGCGGCACCTCCCAGGATCGCATCTGGAGAGCTGCCAGTGCTCTGCCAGCTTCGGAGGCGGGAGGCAGAGCCACAGCAGACGAAAACCCATTCCCTCTCCGGCCCGGCGTGGCCCGCGAGGGAAGGCAGTCTGCGACACGCACGGCTCGGGGGGGCTGCACCGCACCGCGGTTGTGCCACTCACTCACCCCACTCTGTCCCGCAGCCACCATGCCCGCCCTCAGGCCGCTCGTGAAACCCAAGATCGTCAAGAAGAGAACCAAGAAGTTYATCCGGCACCAGTCTGACCGCTATGTCAAGATCAAGGTGAGGAGYTGCTGCAGGTTCCCAAGAACAGGAACTTTGGGGGTACCTTTGGCGTTGGTGATGAAGGGAAGCTCAGCAAGATAGTGCCAAAGCTGCAGYAGCTGGGCAGGGAGAATCTGTGCTGGTCGGTGCACTGAGCCTTCAGGCCTGGTGTGTTGAGGGTGATCTCATTTTGTAACTCTTCTCTGCATTTCCACAGCGCAACTGGCGCAAACCCAGAGGTATCGACAACAGAGTGCGCCGGCGCTTCAAGGGGCAGATCCTGATGCCCAACATCGGCTATGGCAGCAATAAGAARACAAAACACATGCTGCCCACGGGCTTCAGAAAGTTCCTGGTGCACAACGTGAAAGAGCTGGAAGTGCTGATGATGAGCAACAAGTGAGTGTGTGGGACCTGTACTCGTGTCTGGGAGAGGGGCACAGTGAGGGTGACACGAGGGAACCCATTGCTCTCAAAAGCACAAATGCCATCACGGTTCCCTCAGTGCCACTGGAGGGTAAGGACACAGAGAGGCCTTGGGGCTGGCAACCACCTCCCCTTGGCAGAAATACACAACAGTGGCAAACGAGGCTGTGCTGCATCACAGGTAACTGTGGTCAAAACTGGGRCTCCAGGTTAGACCTGGGCACAGATCTTCAATGCTTCTTTTCACAAAGTAATAACAATAATTAACACTGCTGAAAACTGCCTGTGACCGAGTCATTCACAAGAAAAGCTGAGCTGTTTTGGAGGGGAGCTCCTGCTTCAGGCCAGACAGGTCAGGCTTGGTGAGGGGTGGCAGTTGTGGTTCAGTGCTTGTGCAGTGGTGCCCCTGTGCCCTGTGTGTCCAAGTGCTGCTGTCAGGACAGCTCCAACTGCTTTCCCATGGTGGGCTGGCTCCAGAGGCTTTGCTCTTGGTGGTGCTGGAGCCAAGCCCCAAACACTCTCTCCATCCAACAGGTCGTACTGTGCAGAGATCGCCCACAACGTGTCCTCAAAGAACAGGAAGGTGATTGTGGAAAGAGCTGCACAGCTTGCCATCAAGATCACCAACCCCAATGCCAGACTGCGCAGCGAGGAGAACGAGTAACAGCCTCTGCAGCCCAGATGTATTTAATAAAATGTTTGTCCAACTTGGGTGCTGTTTTGCATGGGCAGAGGAGGGGCAGCAGCCTGTGTTTGGCTCCAGGGCTCTGGCAGCCCCGGCTCTGCTCTAGCAGCAGTGTCATGGTGATGGTCAGTGAACTCGGGCATGCAGGTTCACAAGTTTATTTTATTTTCTACCACCCAGACAACAGATAGCCTTTCACACAGCACTATAACTACTCTTCACATCAACCACTCTGTCAAAGAAAAGAAAGCACAGAACAGTTCAGGGCTACAAGGGCCATGATGGCCTCATCCTCTAGYTGGCTCGTAAGAAAGGTTGTAAGGCATGTTTTCCTGTACAATGCAGGATCTGAGCACAGCAGCCACGATGGGCTGGGTGCTTACACACCTGGCTGCCACTTCTGCCCCCATTCTGATCTGGGCCCAGGACCAGTGAACCCTTGTGGCTGGTGACACRCCAAGGTGCTTCAAAGGGAGAGAGAAGCCAGTGTTAGTGCAAAGCAAAGCTTAAAGTGGAGTTTGCCACTGAAACAGTCACCAATCATACCTTGAGAAGATGGCTGAGGTATTTTGCAGTCAAAACCATAAATACGGAAGCCAAGCAACAAAGCTTCATATTGCCTAAATGCCAAACTATGGAGCCACAGGAGGAGGGTGGAGGTGTCAGRCAACTCCTTTGCCCTGTGCAGCCTCTGTAGCTCAGCAGGTGCAAGYGTCCTTTCCCAAAAGGTCTGTGGGATGAACTCAATAAAGACATGGCCTCCAGYTTTTAGCTGTATTACTTAGTGAAATACTATAAATACATTCTTGGGCAATTTAAGGTAGAAAGTGCATGTGCAGTCATTAAAAAAAAAAAACAACATTTAAAGCTATTTTCCTTTGTACTGCAGTAAGGAGTGTTTGAGGAAGTAGTTTCCATTGTTCACAGAACCATAACTGCAATTGCTTTGTGTGACCCTTAAAACAYACTGGAAGGTGGGAATACTCATCTTCCAGCCCACTCCCCTCCACAGGCCTGTGTTCCCCTGATCGTGGGTGTCCCATTCCAGTTCTGTGAGGTGTCTGATGCCAGTGCAGCTGAATCAAGCCAGTCACATTGTCCAGTTGGCACATTTCACACATCATCCTCAGTGTCTCCTGGGGCTGCCCAGGGACTTGGCTGTGGCAGGAAAGCATCTCCATGGCATTTATTCCTCCTTGTCCCACTGGTGTCTATCTGCAGCAACCTGAGGGCAGGAGGGTGGTGGGGAAAAAACATCTTAGCTCATGTCCATTGACTCTGAGGTGGGGAGGGAAGCAGAATCTTTCTGAATGCTCTCAAAAAGTGATGCCATTTCAGGACTGGATCTGATCTGGGATGAAAACTCGGCCATTGCTGGGTTTTTCTCCACCTCAGGGATGGTCAGGAGAGCAGCCACTGCCCGCATGGCCGAACGCTTCAGCTCATCCTGCTTCTCAAACTCCTGCTTCACTGAACCCGCCTTCACCTGCAAATGCAAAGCCCCATTTTCACTTGGCATTTAGAAAAGTCTGTAGAGGCACAGAACCAACATAGCAGCAGAGTCAGCAGACCCAGCCCAGCAGGACCCCCTCCCGTTGCTCTCTTACCTTGGTGCAGCAGGTTGCCCGCAGGGGCTCCATCAGCCGCTCAAGCCGCTGCAGCACAGCGTGGGGGCACAGTGCCGAGAGCCGCGCCAGCATGATGAACGTCAGCATCTGGSCACGAGGGAAGCAAACTGCTCTTGGTTCTCTGTGGGCCAGCTCAGAGCTGGGCCTGCTCTGCTGACACACTGAGCTGTACCCACACCCTGGGAGCTCTCTGCACTTGTGCAAGGGGCTTTGCTAAGAGCTTTGGTGGTACTGGAAATGCACCGCTAGCAGCCAGTGGGCTGGAGCTGCAGCTGGCCCAGGTGTGTGCAGTGCTGCAGGTGTCTGCAAAGGGCTGACAGCCCAGGGGGTACAGCCCTGCTCAGCATGGGGCTATGGTGATACACTGCTTGATTGCAGCTCAGGCCCAYAGAAAATCACATCAGTCAGGGCACAGCACCTACCCGAATGTCATAGTGATCCTTCAGCCCATCCTCCACATGGTTCAGGTAGTCATAGATGTCCAGCCGGTCCAGGCAGCTCTCCAGCAAGGTGTACATGCACTCAAAAGCAGCTTTCCTCACATCAAGGCCATCGTCCACTGTGTGCTTGAATGGCCCCATCTCTACCTGAACCAAGACAAGCAGTAGAGCAGTCATCAAAGAGCAGACAGAGAACAGCTCTATCTAGCTTCACCAGCAGCAAGTCACCATGTGGCCCCCAGCTCAGCAGTTACCTCCCGAATGAGCTCCCTTCGGACTTTTGTTTCATTGTACAGGCTGGGTAGGACTGCATTCAGTAAATCCCGGATTAAAGAAGGCTTGTTGTGAGCAGCAGAATTAAACAGGGCTAAAGCCACACGGCGAACRTTCAGGTCTGGATCCTGCAGAGTTTGTAAGAAGTCACCTGTGGGATAAGAAYGCATCAGTCAGTCCTGCAGCCAAATCAAACTGATCAAACTTGTCTGAAACAGAAAGCCCAGTTCTGGACAGCAGATCCATTGCATGGGCTCCCTGGACATAAAACACTTTTCATGTAGGTTATACTTCTCAAGTTCCTTTTTGGGGGGAGCTTGAATTCTGAGTTTAAATGCAGAAGCACTCTAAAAATCAATGCAACATGCTCAAGAGTAAGGCATCAGTGTGTTTTGCAAGGACTCATGTTATAGTGTTGCTCTTTAATCCCAAAAGCTAAGAAATACATGTAAAAACTAACTGGACTAGATGAGGTTCACACAGGACTGGAAAATCCCTGAGCTGCTACCAACASCCAGCCTCTCATGCCCCCAGTTCACACCCCTGTCCATACAAGCCTACCTATGCAGCCTTTCAGGAGAGCATCAATGGGCTCAGGCTGGTCTGCAATCGTGAACTTGATGGCAGTAACCACAGTGCTCCGGGCATGTGGGGAGTCTGTGAAAAAGAGGGGAAGAAAGACAGTGAAAAATGAAGACATAAAATCACTGCTGTAACTGTGGTACATCTGGCCTTGTTACACAAGTGTTACAGTGATAAGGGARTAGAGGATTCTTCTTGTCAACTCTGTGTTTAAACCTGCTCCTGCACAATCTCCTCATGTAGCCCATGTTCCCAGCACCCTCCTGCTCCTGTGCAGACCAGTGTTCCCCTGATCYCCTTGCAGAGAGATCCATCTTGTTACCTGCCCTCCTCTCAACTGGCTTCRCACCGTTGTACCCCTAAGCACTTTACAAGACAAATTCTCAGAAAAGGCAGTATTTTCCCACTTTGGCCATTGCCCTGCCTGTTACCTGCTGACAGCTGTTTCCTCAGGCGGGGCAGCAGCTCAGCAGGGTTCACCAAGGTCAGCTTCCCCAGGCATTCTGCCACCACGCTGCGCGTCCCCTCCTCCGTGCACTCACAGTGCTTGAAGAGCAGAGCCCAGATATCCTCCACGTAAGGGGCGAGGCTGTCGGCTGGCGACGAGCTGATGACTTCCTTCAGCGAGTGCAGCAGCAGGTACTGGCGCTTGGGCTGGCTCCCGATCTCCTTCAGCATGAAGGGCAGATACTCCTTCAGATTGCCCACGCTGACGTTCCCCAGCGCGTAGGAGGCAGCGGATTTCACCTCTTCATTGGTGGAAGCAAACGCTTCCAGAATGACGGTTCTGAGCTCCCTCTGAGCACTGAGGTTTGTGCTGCGGCCCACCTCTGCCAGGAAGAGGAAAGCCAGCACTTGAACAGCAGGGCTGGACTTGGGGCTTTTCACATCCTGGACAAACTGGTTCACTGTGGCAGGGGCTTCCTTTGGGCAGCCCACGGCCAGGGCTGCCAGGCACTTGGCCACAGAGTGATACGCCTGTTTGTGCAACGTTGGCGAGGCCCCGGCCGGGCCYGAGGAGTAAACGGGTGCTGTGAGCTGCTTCATCAGCTCCGGGTACCCCATGGCAGCCGTCTTTGTGAGGACCAGTGCTTGGAAGAATTCAGTGATGGCATTCAGGGCCCCTCCTTGAAGCAAAGGTGAGTGGACAAGGTGAAAGATTTCAGCAAGGACGGAGCCACTGATCTTGGAGATGCAAGATGGATAAACCTTGGCCAAAGTTGTGAGGAACATGATGGTCACCTGGGACACRTGCATGTCATTCTCAGTAATTAAGACAGGGAGCTCTGTTAGCACAGCCTCAATCATGGCAGGCTTGAGGCTGTCACTGTAGTTCTTCACCAGGATGTCCAGAGCATTCAGAGTGCTCAGTTTCAAGGCACGTTGATTCTTTCTCAAGAAAGAAGCTAGAATGGGGAGACCTTCCCCAAGGATGAGTCTCAAATCTATTTTAAGTGGAGAACTAGCAATTAAGGTTAATGCTTTGACTGTTGTCAGTCTGGTGATTTCATTTTTGAGCCTCTCCAGAAATATCTTCAARGTTGGGTGGAGGTCAGTGCTTAAATGGTCTCCCAAGTTGTAAATGATTTGAGCCATGCAGGAGATGGCTCKTTCCTTCACCTCCTGGTCAATGTCAGCTGCCTTCAGCCGCTTCAGAGTCCCAGTGAAAATGTCCTTCACATAGGGCTTGGCATCAAAGGTGGCAGCTTTGTTCAGGGGCCTGATAACTTTCACAAGCTGCTGAGTTACCAGCAGAGCTTCTGAYGTGATCTTATAAAAGGGGTCTCCAATACAGCTCACAACAGAAGGCAACAAGGTTTTGACATGAGGATGAAATACCTCTGGCTGGTGATTGCAGARAAGGACATGGAGGAAAGACAGCGTGTCGATCCGCATATTGGAGGAGCTGGATTTATCCGCCAGGGAGAAAACAATACCTGTGCAGGAGAGACAACAGAAAATGATGTCGTATTTTTCCCAAAGAAGGAGATTCACTGATCCAGCCAGGGACATCACAGGAGACTTTTCTCRTCTTCACCATACACTCACACCAAAAGCAAAGGCAGGACCTGAGTCTTCCAGCAATGGGATCCTTCGTAAGCCC